GATGCAAAGGAATGTTAAATGTCCATATAGATTTTGTGTTTTGTTTATCTTGAAAAAATGAACGTATGTTATGTCAGTACTAATAACTCTTATTGTAATTTGTAGATGAGGGAAAAAGAAAAAGAGAGATAAACACACCAGAGGAAAAACCAGCAAAACGGAAATCTGTTGCCGAATTAGAAAGTGAAGCTGGAGATGTTGCTTCTTTACCTTTAGAGAGTCTCACTGTGTTGGATATTAAAGTGGATGAACCAAAGGTACTAACTCCTGCACCACATTCAGTAAGGGTATATACAGAAGATTGCCCAGCAAGCAATACCAGTGAAACAGAAAGTTCCTCAGGAAGTGTGCCAGAAACTGCTGCTAGTTATGAACCTATGGATGCCACAGGTATTCAACAAAAATTTATTTATTAGTAGTAAGATACTCTTGAGGTCATAAAACTAATACATGCTAAGTTGAAAATTCTACCAAGTCCTTTGAGGTAGAGTATTTCAGTTTGATCATGTAACCATCAGGCTTAACCATCTTTTCAACCCTTGGTTTGGATCAGACAAACCATTCGTTCCACTCTCCCAGCAATTGCATCATGAATACTAATAACCTTGTAAATTATGACTCAGTCAAACTGGTTTTTATTTGAAAACTTTGCAAAGCTTTGGGCATTATTCCTCAGAAATTCCATATTGTGGGTGAATTAAGTCACATATTAGATAAAATCAGTCAAGTCAATTAAAAACTACCAAATGCACAACCAGCCTCTCTGATGCACAGCTGCAGGTTCAGACTTGGTCCCTTCTGTAGCTGTTCTTAATGGCACACCCTATTAAGCCCACTGCTCTACTGTTTAAACAAATTAAGAGGGTTATGTGTAGAGTTGGCAAACTTCTGTGAAGTTTGACCCAAACCTTGCCTGAGCAAGGAGGAACAACATGTGCCATATAATAGGAGGTGAAGCTACTTTATTATGGGAATGAGTAAGTGAGTGATGGCAAGTAGCAATAGAATTCCCAACTTGACCTAATTTTGACCTGATGTTTCCTGCTGCTACTTATTGTTTTTTGTTTGTTTGTTTATTTTTTTTTTCAGAAGTATCTTATTAATACAACATTTGCACTGACAATACACATTTGAGTTCTCTCCTTTTGTGATTTCTGGATTAAAGCTACTAGCACATTTTGATACATCGTCATTGTTTCAGTTCTTGCTGTGACACAAGACAATTTTGTGTATCACCATTATTTTACAATGGCCTCTTGCCATGTGATAAACAAAAAATTCCCTGCACAAATATCTTTAATAGGTGTAATCAGTGCATCATGAAAACTTAGAGGAATTTTTATTTCCAGTATATTCAGTATATTTTTATTACTTCCATTCACATCCACTGGGGCGTAACATAATGTTTTTATAAGTGAAAATACGTAAGTTATTTCCCAGGTTGAAAAAACAGCCACGTTGATGATGCCTGTTGGGTGAAATTGGGTATTTATTGAAGTTGGTAAATGCCAGCAATGGCATTTCCAAAACTTTAAATTTACAAATTTACTGGGGGAGCATGCTATGAGACCACCCTAAATTGGAGCACCTTCTCTGCCAATATTTTCTAATTGCCTGACTACACCTTAAAAATCTCATGCTACACCCCTGGTTTTAAAGACGATTTCAACTTTTCGAAGAAATCTGAAACAATGTGATAAGTAACAGAATAATTATGTAAAATAATGCTCCACCGGCGCTTAATTACTTATGGTTTAACAATTCATCAGCTGTGTTATGATAACGGCGTCATTCACAATTCCTCCTGGAGATGTAGCCATTAATAATATATTGCCATCTTAATTCATTTATTAATACCCCATCAGGTGAATGAAACAATGAGACAGCACCTCAGAATCATTTTGCATCAAGTGACTGACTTAATTTTGCTGCTTTCCTGCAATTATGTTCTTTATAACCAACAAGAACAAGAGTATTGATATCACCCTAATTTGGCAAGAAATGCCTCTTGAAGCCTCTCTTATAAGGCTTTTGACTTGTTGGACATCACTCAATAAATTTGTATTTGGTGCAGACTATTTACCCTAATCTGCAAGCTTTGAGCTCTAAAGTTTTACTCCAATGTGTAACATATGCAGAAAGTATTAAGGTATGATCCCTGACTTCCCTTAGTACCCACCAACATGAAAGATGTGTGCTTGTGATATGTCACTTCAGTTGGGAATGCACTCATCAGCAACCAAAAGCAGTTAATGTTGGCAACCTCTCAAGGTTGACAATCGAAAAATTCCAAACAATTAGCCAAGCCAGTAAGTGCTGGTCAAATTTATTATACCTCTCTGCCTCTGCATATCTGGAATTTGATTCTCTTTGAGAGAACCTTCATTCACCCTGCTAGATCAATGAGAATGTTGGCTGAAGTTTCCATTTGCTCCTTTTATAAGCATTGCCCTAAAAAAAGTCAGATTTTGATTTGGTCCTCATGGGTTTCAAAGGCCAGATCATTAAAAAAATCCTGGTCCGCAAGCTCAAGGCCTGTGATGACTGTAGTACAGCCGCTTTTTAATAAGCATACTTGAGGTATGAGACAAGCCTACTTATACTGTCTCCTACAACTTATTACTGCTTTGGCCAATTACACTGAGACATGGTAATGTCTTAATGATACATAGCATCCACAAATGACACAATGACTCTCTAGCTCTTGTTGGATACATCATTAGCTTGCATCTGCTCATAACAGCCCTACTCCACTAGCTTCCACATTCTCTTTACATGCTAACTATGTCACCATCATCAGCAGCAAGTACTATGAAATTAACTTTGGAGAGCTTCAAAGCATCAGCAATTTAGGTGGCGATCGGTCCAATAAGTCCCTAGTAATGAATCTGGTCTCACCATGTCCCTTCACAACCCGGCCCAATCCACTCTCTCAGCCAACGGACATGTGATAAAATTCTTAGTGACAAAGTTAGGTCGGGGCCGGACGCGAAAAAAATTTGGCTCTCGTTCGTGCATGATTCCCGGACTTCGTTGCGATCAGTCCGTACGTCATGTCTTCGAGCCAAATATTTTCCTGTACACCCCTCCAACTCAGTGTATAAGTACTTGTCATGCGGCAGTGCATATATGTAAAATTCCTCCAAATGTGAAACATGTAAAGAGGAATGAACATTACAGTATGTATCTCATAATTAGAGAGCAAATAGAGTCATTGTCAAAGGTTTGGGGTTTTTTCAGACTTTGAATGCCTGAAACTCACATCTTTTGTGACTCAGTATCGCTACTGCGAACTGCGGACTTTTTAAGAGTCTGCAGTTCGCAGTTCTAATCGTTGTAATGCTTCGCAATTCTAATCGTTGTAATGCTTCCTTGCAAACAGTTAAGAAATCAGCAAGTGTCTACAGCCAAGCAGGTGGGAATAACCAGTCTCAAAGGAACAGTACGTCTCAGTCATCTGCAGGTGATGGTCAGCCCAAGAAGGGTGAGGACAGCAATCATGAAAATGAAAGTGATGAAGATGAAATCAACACAGATTCAGAGGTAAATCGACGTCATTTTTTGGAATGTTAATACTGCTTACAGTCGACTGAAATCTTCAATAAGTGTTCTAAGAATCAAGATGTAGTTTGGCATCTCTTAATTTTTGGTATTGAATAACACTGTCTTATTAATGATGTTTGTAACTTCAGGAAGGAGATCCGTGCCAAGACGCGCACGTTGAAAAAGAAAACCCAGGTTCGAGAAAGAATAAGCCGATGAGCAAGGCTAAAAGGGACAGGGATAAAAAGAAAGAAAAGAAAAAACGCAAAGAGGAAGAAAAACGCGAGAAAATCAAGTATGTATGGGCTTTGCACATCAAATTGAAAGTACTGGGGTCAAGATCGTTGAAAACATTTTACAATATGCATTATGTATCATCAGTTAATGGTAAGATGATGATGTACAGAAAGTCCTAATCATTGTGACTCAAGTCATGACCTTCGTAGTTATGGTACTTCGCATAAAAAAAAACAATATACCTCTTTTCACTTGATAATGACTCAAATATTAATTCCCTCCGAGATACGAATTCCTGCCGAATTCTGTGCGGACAATAAAAGTTGAATGTTTAGGCTGGCAATGATTAGACGCCCATTCACAGATTTTATTAAGTCTTACAAAACTTTCTTCCTTATAAGCTTTTTATTAACTCGGTTTTCAAATATGGGCAACTTAAATTATCCAAGGTGTTTTAACAAGAAGTGTTGTATCTGTCATATAATTCTTGGTAAGGAAAGTCTCTTATCAGGCTAATCAAGGATCGCACAGTCGTTTATTGCGGCCTAATTAATTCTTTGTATTCTTTGTATGTAAAGACAACAAGAGGGTTCGCAGCTTGACCAAGGGCAAAAGAAGCGAAAGAACGAGAGGACCAGTGAGCGCAATGCCTTGAGTAATAACGAAAGTGATAACCATGATGCAAGCTGCGACAATAAAAAAGAACCAGAAGAGGGTAAAGAGCATTTTGCCAAGTACAAAGGAAGCAAAATGACTGTTGTTTTTCATGCTGTTCTTTCACCTTATTTCAAATTTGATGCTAATCAAGGTGACAGAATTTTCATGAGGTTTGGCGGAGTTCCTTTTGGGAATTTCATGGTGAATATTGTAGAGGTTCATCCAGAAAGGTAGGCTTGGTAGATCACTTTAATTTGTTGATGTTACTTAAAAATTTTTTAGAACCCACATGTAATGTAACTGCTGTTTTCGTGGTTACAAGCACATTCTTGTGGCGCGAAGCATTTATTTCTGAAAACCAATTAGTCTTACTCTTTGTGCTAAAAATGGTGACCTAAAAAGGTTTTGGAATTTTTAAGTGAAACTAGTACGTTACAGTTCTTTGTGATTTATGATTGCTAGTTATTCGGAATAGCAGAAGTATTAGTATTAGCGCTGTATAGTGAATCGTCCGCAAAACTTCTTTAGACCTTCTCTCAAATCCTCTTGACCAATGAGATGCAAAATCAAAACAAATAATGACTCGGTTTCTCGTGTTTCTGGCGCGTTAGGCTATTGGCTTGTTCTTTAACTCATGGATACGAGTTACGGATTACAAGTTTTTTCTGAACAGTCTCGCTGAGCCGAAGTTGATTGACGAGGCAGTTGATAGTGGTGGGGCGTCGGCTCGGATATTTTTCGCAGATTTTTTTAAAGGGTTTGATTTGATTGATCACTCAATATTGATGCAAGAACTCGCAGACCTTGAAGTTCACCCAATCCTTTTATCTTGGATTGTAGCTTTTTCGACTTATCGGAGGCAAGCAGTTAAAATTGGGGGATCTCTGTCAAATTTGTTAACACCAAAAGGAAGAGTGCCCCAAGGAACTAAGTTGGTTGTGATTCTTTTTACGGTGATGACAAACGGACTTCTGTCCGACTGGCAGCTGCGTATTAAATATGTTGATGATACTAGTGCTCTCGAAATAATTCCAAGGAATTCCCCTGGCTTACTCAATGTTGTAGCCTCAGACATTCATAATTTTGCCATTGCTCATAATATGTCTTAATCCAACTAAGTGTAAAGAAATGCATATTAATTTTCTACACAACTCCAACTGTCTCATTAATCCCATATTAATTGGCGGCAACGCCATCCAGTGTGTCAATACCTTTAAGATCTTAGGAGTTATTATAGACAGTGACCTGAAGTGGAACTGTCATGTTGATTACATTGATAAGAAAGCTTGTAACAGGTTATATTCCCTCAGAGTACTGCGCAGAGCCAGGGTGTGTCAATCTAACATCCTGAAGATATATCTCAGGACAGTCCGGCCAGTTTTAGAGTATACTGTACCTGTCTGGCAGGATATTCTTGCCTATCTGTCCGAATCCATAGAGTGAGTCCAAAAAAGGGCGCTGAATATAAATTACCCCGAGGCTTAGTCGTATGCTTATGCTTTACAGCTAGGTAAATTAGATAGGCTAGATGACAGAAGAGTAGACCTGTGCTATAAATACATGGCAAAAATGAAGTCCCCCAGCCACCCTCTGCACCATCTGCTCCCCAGCCCACTCCTGCACCCATCTGCTCCCTAGTCCACTCCTGCACCCATCTGCTCCCCAGCCCACTCCTGCACGCACCTAATTACGACTTAAGGCAGAAAACACAAAAGTACTATCTCTTCCGAAACATTCAGATATGTAGGACAAAGAGAAAGGAGGACTTTTTTACATTTAAATATTTTAAATGATTCAATTGTTACCATCATTGTTATAGTCGTAAACTTTTAGTTTTTAGATAATAGTTGCCTTAAGATTGTAAAATACACTCAATAATTCAGGTCCTTTACTGCCAGAGAGTTTAATAAACTAGTCATTCATTCATTCATTCATTCACTCACTCACTCACTCATTCATTCATTCATTCATTCATTCAAGTGGAATGGATAACAACAACGGCTCTTACAGAAGTAATAGAAATTTACACGTTCGTGTAATCATATACTGTCTCAAATCATGTCACTTTTATCTACACGTAGGTGGCTTGAACATGATTTTATCCTGGTTAAGGCACAATTCTCTGTACCAGTTGGTGAAGTTACTCGCAATGTCTCCTACAAGTATGTTGTCTTTAAAGCAAAGAGAAAAGATTCAAAAGAGAAAGATAATTATATTTGGGACTACTTGTCAGGTGGAGCTTTTAAGAACCGATGCCTTCGAATACCGAAAGAAAGGTGCCAAACTGGAGGTATGTTTGGGTATTCAAATTCTTAGCTTTTCCTTTTTTTTCTTCTAAAAAGTACGTCTGTAGCACTCCTTCATGTCTTAAACGACCATGATGAGAAACCAGACTGGAAGCCATCGCCCTCTCCTCGCACCTATCTATAAGCGCCTACAGAAGATTCGTTGACGACAATTATCTCCAGACAACTGGTGAGGAAATGGAAGACCAATTCCAAAATTCCTTCGTAATGAAACAAATCTCAAAGGGCCAAAACTAAGTCCACAAAGGCATCTAAATCAACACCATTGCACTGGAAAACGACCCGAAAATCTACGCCTTTTCGAAGCATTTTACAAACGAAAATACAAACGTATTCTCAACTCCCGTGAGGAATGTAGCGAATTAGTGGATCTTTCGTTCTAATGACTACTTTAGCATATCTAGAGAGACTCTCGCTCATTAGATCATTTTATCCGTTTTTTATTAATTTTTGTACCTAATAATTTATCCAGTAAATTTTACCCACGCACCTTTTGCTTTTCACACGTTTTTACTTTTAATTTGTATTTAAGCCTTACGCGAGATATTTTTCTTATCACTGATGATGCCGTGAATCGGCCAAAGCTTGGATTTTTGAAAGATTTTCAGGTCGATTTTACTATAGTTTAAAGCCTCATTTGAACTTCAGTCAGTTTTATTAACCAAAATTGTGAATTTTGCATTTACTACTGATTGCTTAATTGATTGACCTCAGCGTTCTTTTGCTTCATCTGGCGGTGTTCTGTCTCTATGGTTAGATATTTATCTTAACTTCCAATTTTAAGTACATAACAAAACTCTGATGAAATAAAAGAGTTAAGGTAAACTGTTTCGGCTGGTCTCCTAACGTTTAATTTTCCAAGAGGTTTTGCGGAACCTCTTTAAAAATCAACTGTTTTTTATTGCAACTCGAACATGCTAACTTGAAACTGTGTTCGCTAGAACTAGGCTGCGGTGACACGCTGCGGCCACCGCCTAATATTGGTGGTAAACATTTGGTCATTTGTCGCCCTATTGAAGAGTGGGGTGGGAAAATTATTTTGATTTGTATTTCCTTAGTTACAACTGATCCACGATGTTTTGAAAGTAAATATGTACGACAGAAAAGCAGGGTTCAAAGAACTTGGATTATGTATGCTATTATTGAACCATTGGAATGTGAAACGTTTGGTGTTTGGGAGAGATGGCCTATGCCACCTCTGCCTGGTCCTTTCGTGGAGCCTCATCACTACTTTAAACTGTTTATTTTTGTATATTTCGGCAACTGTACATAAATATTTATCGCACATTTTCTGTCAAAATTCGTCATTTTTTTTTATAAAAGAATTTAAATCGTACCTCGTAAACAATTAACCACTGTCTACATGATCTTTGGAATATGGAAAGTGATCGAAACATATCTAGTTTTAAATGGTATGTGGTTGTTATTTTGGAAAATAGGTTCATGCCAACCGCAACCGAGAACTTTTGTTTTTGAATTGTTTAACTTTTATTTTCCTTACAGCTGTCTGGCACCAGTACGACGACACTATTTTTTGTTCGCCAGGATGGGCTCAAAGTATCCGAAAATTTCTGCCATTCGTGAAAAGCACAGGTCCATTAGAAGGCAGAAACATCGCAACGGAAGCAATGCTGCCTCATTGGGAAGGTTTCAACGAGCATAATGTGGAACCAAGTATGACTGCTTGGAAGGCAATAGGGATTGTGAATGATTTAGCTAACTGCATGACACAAACGAAGGTTGAAGAGCATGGTATCCTCGCAGGAAACGTTCCATCAGGATATAACTTTAAGAGGGTATGCAATCACTAATGCACTTTTCTACATTTCCTAGATAGTATCTATTTTATTCGAGGTTAATTTTATCAGCAGTATGTTGTAGGATGAATAGCTCTTCAACGGCGTGGCGCATGGCTCTCCCATGCAATCCGCTTGGCCGATTATGAACACGAGGTCTAACCCAAAACACGGTTTTACGCAAGTAGTGAGCCTCAGTTCTCTTTATAAGCTTGATTTAATTAATTTTTGTTATTTCCATGTCAAGTTTCGGCCCTCTTGACATTATTCAAAAATATAAATGTTAGATAAAAGGTTTGGTTACATTGGAGACAGTTTAGAACGCGGTTTTGATAAACAATGGCTACACTTTGTTTAAATGACCGGCCCTGTATTCTTCACTGTGACATGCATATAAATTTCAGTTGTAATCTACTTCTCCATATTTTAAGCGACAATCGTTTGGTACATTGCACCAGTTATTTTATTTGCAGCATTGTATTGCAAGAACCTTTGAAAAAGAGAGTCAGGAATCTCATTGAAATAGAAAAAACACCTTTTTCGTCTGAAAGAATTGAAACTTTGTGTTGATCAAAAACTTTTCCGGTTGATTTTAAATTAACTTAGAAAACAAAAGCGACTATCCCAAAATGGCCCTATTGGTGAAAGATGTTGACCACCTTTTTAGAATGTTATTAGGCTACTTCAACAAACAATTGCTTCTTGGACTTGTTTGATAAGGTAAACTGGTTTGCCGTCTTACCAAGCATCACTCATTGTATTCATTTATTTATTTATTTATTTATTTATATTTATAACAACTTCATTTGCCTAAATAATAAGATAATAATAATAATAATAATAATAATACAGACAGATAACAATAGAAATAACATCGAGATGCAAAAAGGCAAAAAGGGTCAAGCCAGAGAGGAACTAAATTCTCATTGACGGGAACTAAATTCTCATTGACGGATTGCATGTAATTAAGCTGTTTTACCTCTAACCCCCAGAGGTCGGTGCACCTGCATTTGGATGGAGAATACGTTCCCATTTTTCCCATTGGTTTTTTTCTGGTTTTCGCATCAGGTAGCGGCACACAAAACGTTTTAGCCCGAGAGGTGATGACTAGTTGTTTACTACTCTGTGTAAC